TGTATAATTTAATATTATAGAAATACTCAAATGCAGAACGGCTATTACGATAATAATAATAATATGTCATTATTACAGGCCGGTCGTCCACGTCGATTTGAATACGAACGGCGTGTGCAACATAAAATGTGTGCTAAAAATAAAATGGGAAAAAAATTATAATGCGCGAATATTATACAATAGGTCCGTCAACCAGCAGCTGTCCTACATCGGGTATAATATTGTGCTGCCATCGTATAATTTGTACAGGTATACCGTATACCTGTACGAGTGGCCTACCGCAATATAACATAATATAACATTTCATAATAATTGTATTTTGTGTCGGTGAACCACCCATATAATACAATTTATATATAGGTCCGCCGTCCTACTTATGACAATATTTTTGAGTTTTCGAAATCCTTCCGGAACTCTGAAGTAGACGGTGATATTATTTCAAAATCAAAACACTGCAGCAGACCACCGCGTAGGCGCAATTTGGGGAGTGCTTGGGGGTGCTTGGTACTTATGACAATATTTTTGAGTTTTCGACAAGTGGCGGTACCCGAAATCCTTCAGGAAGTCTGAAGTAGAGGGTAATATTATTTAAAAATCAAAACACCGCAGCAGACCACCGCGTAGGCGCAATTTAGGGAGTGCTTGGGGGTGCTTGGCACTCCCAAAATTCATATTAGCACCCCCAAATTGTTGATGGCATCATCGAATTTTTATTGACCAAGACGTATACTTGGTTTAATATTATGCTACAGGTTATTGAATACATTTATTTCTAAGACCTATTATCATTTTAATAATAATAGATAGGTAGATATCTATCAGAATACTGAATAATAATATGTATTACATTATAAGTAGGGCTGGGATTTTAATGCCCTAAAAAATCCCGAAAAATGTCCTAAAAAAAATTCTTTTATGATCTAAACTATTTTTTTTTTTTTAAATTTTAGTATAAATTACAATAAAAAGTTTAAAAAAATGCATTACAAAAATCTATTACAAGTGTAAGCTGTTAATACATAGTTTTAGTATAAATCTAAAAAAAAGTTAATCTGTTATATTTATTTAAAAACCATGTTGGTGTAAAAATCTTAAAATAAAATTTCAAATTCATACTTGGTATCCAAAAACTCAAAAAATGCTTCAAAAACTCTAAAATGCCCTAAAAAATTAAGAAAATGACCTAAAAACTAAAAAATGCAAAATAAACTTTCTTATTCTCATTCAAATGTACATAAAACAAATTTGTGACAAGACGAGCATTGCACAGTAAGCTTAGGAAAACAATGCAAAGTGCATCGAAATCCCAGTACTAGTTATAGGTAATTGTTCAAATTAAGATTAATGCGAAGGTGTATGAATGGAGGGAGACAATTTAGGGCAACATAATACTAGCACCCCCCATAAATTTATCCCAAATTGCGCCCACGATCGTCTGTATAATATTATCATAATATTGTGTACCTGCTATGTATAGATAACCATTAACCACGTTTATAATTACTATAATGTGAAATATTGTAATGTTACCTATACGGTTCGGTCTGTATTATTACTCCATGGTCTGCTGTATAGCTGGTGCTCTACGCCCCTCGGTGTATTACTATTATAAAATATTATAATATTATACGGTTGGTCTTGAAACGTTTAAAAGTAGGTTAGGTTATAACATTTCGAAATCCTTCCGGAACTCTGAAGTAGACGGTAATATTATTTCAAAATCAAAACACCGCAGCAGACTGCAGACCACCGCATAGGCGCAATTTGGGGGTGCTTGGCACTCCCAAAATTCATATTAGCACCTCCAAATTGTTGATGGCATCATCGAATTTTTATTGACCAAGACTTATACTTGGTTTAAAATTATGTCACAGATATCCATCAGAATAATGGATAATAATATGTATTACGTTTTAGGTAATTGTTTAAATTAAGATTAATGCGAAGGTGTATAAATGGAGGGAGACAATTTAGGGCGACATAATACTAGCACCCCCCATAAATTTATCCCAAATTGCGCCCACGATCGTCTGTATAATATTATCATAATATTGTGTACCTGCTATGTATAGATAACCATTAACCACGTTTATAATTACTATAATGTGAAATATTGTAATGTTACCTATACGATACGGTCTGTATTATTACTCCATGGTCTGCTGTATAGCTGGTGCTCTACGCCCCTCGGTGTATTACTATTATAAAATATTATAATATTATACAGTTGGTCTTGAAACGTTTAAAAGTAGGTTAGGTTATAACATTTCGAAATCCTTCCGGAACTCTGAAGTAGACGGTAATATTATTTCAAAATCAAAACACCGCAGCAGACTGCAGACCACCGCATAGGCGCAATTTGGGGGTGCTTGGCACTCCCAAAATTCATATTAGCACCCCCAAATTGTTGATGGCATCATCGAATTGTTGTTGACCAAGACTTATACTTGGTTTAATATTATGTCACAGATATCCATCAGAATAATGGATAATAATATGTATTACGTTTTAGGTAATTGTTTAAATTAAGATTAATGCGAAGGTGTATAAATGGAGGGAGAAAATTTAGGGCGACATAATACTAGCACCCCCCCCATAAATTTATCCCAAATTGCGCCCACGATCGTCTGTATAATATTATCATAATATTGTGTACCTGCTATGTATAGATAACCATTAACCACGTTTATAATTACTATAATGTGAAATATTGTAATGTTACCTATACGATACGGTCTGTATTATTACTCCATGGTCTGCTGTATAGCTGGTGCTCTACGCCCCTCGGTGTATTATTATTATAACATATTATAATATTATACGGTTGGTCTTGAAACGTTTAAAAGTATTAATTATTATTGCAACAAATCAGACCAATGTTAATGGATTGAGTTAAATGTATATTATGTTTTATATCAAGGTAAAGTGGAAATCGTTGAGCAACACATAGTAATTATATAATTTTCAAGTATCTAATACACTAATCGCGGTGTAGATATTTTTCAGTGCTCGGAGCTTGTCGACCAATATAATATAATATTATACTCGTAGGAATATAAAATATTATGTTGTATTCAAAAACATTAAAACGGACTTTGTCGTCGAGTTATATCCATTAGTTTCCGAGCTGTTCAATAATATTATTTATTATTTATTATTATTATTATTATTATTATGTGCTGTAACGATATAAAAACTAACACTTACCTACTTAGACTTTCTCTCCGAACGTGTATAGAATACAAACGGAACAGCTGATTTTGTAATGGACGTTTATTATTAACAGGTACTTTTCCTTGAACAAATATTATTTTTTTCTCTCTCTCTCTCTCTCTCTCTCTCGAAGTAGGTATTTCAATACAATGGAATAATTAAATAAAAATACTAAAATTAGTACATTGGAAATAATGTACAAGGTACATGTTTATTCGTTATTTTTTTTTTAAATTTTTAATATCATTATTAAGAACAGATTTGACAATAGAAAATTTTTAAATAACAGTACAGGCCACGACTTTCTTTTTTATATTTCACAAGCCGAATTAAATTAACAATAATGCGATTATCAATTTAGAACTGCTTACGTGCAAATTATTTAAATCCGCTAGTCATATTAAAAGAATGTTAACGGGCCGATAAAAAAAAAAAAAACAACTTTAAAAACCAAACAATTTGTAGGCAAAATTTATTGTTCAAATTAGAAATGATCTATTGTTGTACATAACATAATAAATAAATAAACTAATCATAAAATGGAGACAAATTTGATGATTGGTTATTTACATTGTTTTTAAAACAAAACAATTCTTAATAAACGTATTATCATGAGCAAAAATATGATTTTCAAATGGTATCAGTTGTAATGTCGAAACAATGTAATATTGAACAGTGGTTTATATATTATATAATATAAAAAAAAAATATAATACTATACAAATTCTAGACATTTTTTAGCTTCATATAATATTTTAGAATTAAAATGTAAAACTAACTAGGTACATATAGAATAAAATACACAAAGATCAGTTGATACCATACGTACTAATTACATAGACAAAAATCACAATTTTAGTTTTTTGAATAGATTTCTTTTTACCGCCAGGTAAAGAAAGGTTTTTTTTTTAAAAAATATATTTACGTTCCAGTTTGATGTTTCTGAGCAGGTTCACAATTCTCGAAATTATAAAATAATTTTACCAGTTGTATATTATTCTTTTATGATTATACACAGTTCATATAAAAATTGGTCAAAAAACATTTTATTCCTCGGATAATAAATATACAATGCTGGCAAAAAGAGCAATAAGGGATACAATTTTAAGTCTTTTAAATTTATTTTTATTTCATAATGTTATCACCATAAAAGAAGCTCACAGTTTTCAATTCAAAATACTACTAAATTATATTGTGAAGTTCTACATAAGTAATATTTCATTAATAGTATTTTTCTAAAATTACTAAAGCTATATTAGGTATGGCCTTAACTATTCAATATGTACATCACCTACCTACCATAATTATTATATTATAATGTTTAATATAATAGTTGTGTACAAATTAAATTATATTAATTAATACCTATATCACGAATTTAAAACAAAAATAATATGTAATAATAATATGATGATGTTATAAACGATGGCACCAGATTTTTCTTCCTACAACATATTAAGACTGCCAGTTTTTCATTAAACAGTCTACATTTTTCTAACAAAACCAAAATATTGTGTTTGTATTGTATTTTTTCAATTCATCAAAAAGCGAGACACACAACGGGTCAACATTTCCTTTTGTTTACTGTGTGAATTCAAATAAAAATTAAACTTAATTCTCTAAGAGGAATGAAAATTTATTATACATAGGTACGTTATTAATAAAAACATACAAGATTGTTTTGTCCTTTCATAGAAAAAAAAATATATAATAAAAATAATATAGTAATAATAGATTGCAAATTTGATAGGTTTTGTGGATTGTCTTTGAAAAACAAACTTTTAGAATCAGTACACATATATCTGTTTGAGCTGGTCCCGTAGTTCTGCGGGTATTTTGTATGCGTCTTGTTGCTGTTGCTTTTTGTGCACCAGTCTTCGCCACTTGCCTCGCAAGTTTTTCCGTAGTCCCTTGCGGTGCTCTGCGGTTTCTTCGATGGGTACACTGCACACCAATGTGTCCTGAAATCAAACAAAAAAACCCTGTCAGTCACTTTGAAACAAAACGGTTGGAAGTGACCAGTGTGTGTGTGTGGAGGAGCTTTGGATAATATGTTGTGTTTGAATTTAGCACGGCCGTTGAAATAATTTCCAAGGCAATATTGTGGGTCGCCATAACAACATTTATGTTATCCATTATGTTCTTACAAAACCAGTAGTGCGCACCAAACTATGTTTAACCTTCTACGGTGTGCAGGCATTCCGTGCACACTATCCTTGTCTTGATAATTCATTTCTCCCACTCGAATGCAGATAAGATGAACATTATTTAATGATCTCATGTTTTCAATGAGCTCATTAACCATGAGAAAAGGTTAGGTACTCGTTAAAAATTATATTAATAATTTAGAAATCTGATTTCAATTAAACCAATTATTATTGTTCGGTGCCTGGGCATCAATGGCCAGACTTTATCCCAACCTTATCGTTTGGATTAAAACCGTCTACCTACGTAAGTAAGTAACAGATAATGTAAGCAACAACCAATATAATAGAAGCCAACCAATAGTAGAGAGATGATTTTATTACCTGATCGGAGCTGTACAGCCTGTACGGTGAGTTATACCCATTGGTGTTTTTGGCTGCAGCGTTTTTGGCTGAATACTGCCAGAGGAACGGTAAAGGTACGGGCGCATCGCCCACGTCACCGGATACGTTTGTGACAACGGCGACGTCGACGGGCTGGGCATGGGGCAGCTGACAGTCCACATTGTTGTTGTTGTTGTTGTTGATCGCAGTGTTGGCGGTGGCGACGGCTGTGGCCGCTGCCGTGGCCGCGGCTGCTACGGCGGTCGCGGTTTCCTCGCGTTTCCTAAGCTTGCTGCGAACCAAACGGACGGTTAGAAATTTAGAACCGTTGCTACCCACCATTTTCAAGCTGTCCCTAAGCGTGCCAATGCAATTGAAACGCGCTTTGGTCTGTTCGATGGTACCGGTGGCCGGGGCTTTCGGGTAAGCCACCACGCCGCCAAACGTAACGGTTTTTGCGGAGCACATAGCGCCACCGCTCGGGTGTGTGACGAAAATAACGACGACGATAGTACGTGCCGTTATTGGTGTCACTTGTGTAGAGAGAAAAAAAAAAAACGTTTCCGTGTGTTCAAAACGGTACGACACACAATCGCACCCGCGCAAACACACACGGACACACTTAAAATATTATTGTAATAATATACGAATTAAATTTAATCGTATGATATATAGAATACGCTATTTTAAAGTAATATTAACGACTAGTTTCACTATCACAGCCTCGTGTATGTTTCGACGAATATTATATAATAATATTATACCGGACGTCCGACGGTGCGGTTCTTCTCCGAGAAGAATTTCAAGTCTTGTTTTATTCAACACGATATCATATAACCGACCGCTGAGGAGGAGAGAACGTCGGTGGTCGAAGAGAACAACAATTAATAAAAATTAAAAATAATTAATTAATAAATACACACGCGAGCGCGCGTCGAGTCTCGGGTTAGGTGGTAGACGACGACGACGACGAAGACGAGTGTGGTCGCGGCCACGTCGGGAAAGACGTAGGGTTGTCGAACGGGCGTTATTAACTGAACGGCTGGTGAGTGGGCCTGATCATTTTCCGGGAGCGTGTCCAAAGCGGTGGCCTTTGTAAGTGGTGATGGTGGTGGTCGCCTGCCGTGGACGACAACGACGACGGTACTTTGCGACAACCGACGCACATTCGAAACGTTTATGCGTGTGCACGACGGAAACAACAACGCTACTTCGCGGCGAACTGAGCTGACGACGACTGTCTACGGTTCGTGTCCTGGCGTGACTGTGGCCACACGAGTTGTAGCAGCAGCAGAGAGAGCGTGTCGAGTGGGGCCGACGACGGGACAGACACGGACAGACTGCGGCTCACACACTGCAGTCACGCGCAAAGTGCAACGACACTGCGACCGGCTGCGAGCGAGCTGTAGCGCGAGCGACTCCGCATGAGCGACTGGTCGTGGTAGTGCCGTAGAGCGTGGTGGTAGCGCCGCGCGAGCGAGACGGTAAATGCGATACGGCGAGCGGACGACGACGCCGCGTTGTGGCCGACGACCGGTGGGAGCGCCGCCGCCGCCGCCGGTGCCAACCCTCCGCCGCTTTCGTCCCCGCCACCACACCGCCGTCAGGTCGCCACGTTGCCACATCGCCCGCCCGTTAGGCTGCGGTGGTGTACCCGCGCCGGGGGGGTGGCTAGACGGGACTCGATTCACGACGCGTCGGGTAAAATGTCTTTTCTATGGTCGAATACGCGTTGTAACAATATGATATATTATTGTTATTATTGTGTGTGTAAGTGTAATGTGGGTGCGTGTGCATCTACAGCCGTACGAACTATATAGACGATCAACCCTAAAATATTATAACGCGTTTATTCGTGCGAGCGGTGTTCACTACCGCTGCTATACCATGCCGGTTACAACATTTTATCATTTATCAGACCTTAAAATGTGGGTGTGCTCAAATACAAATTATTTTATTCCGTTGTTCAAAAAATGTATTGGTAATAATGATAATAACAATCAATTATTACTTAAAATGCAAATAAAACATTTCAATGTAAAAACTAATAGTACGTATAACTGTTAATATATATATTTGATATTTAGATGAATTATTCAAGTTTTCAGTTAATTGATTTTAACAAAATATAATATAATTTTCTATATTTAACAATGTCAATCGTTTGAAAATCGTTCCTTTGTAATGCATTATATAAATCAATACACTAGTGTAAGTAGTAAATACCTACTCGCATAATCAATCAAGTAATATGTTGGGGTGCCAACAAAATAGTTTAGGGTGCTAAGCATCCCCTAGCCCAGTGCTACTCAAACTGGGGCCTGCGGCTATATTATCGGGGAGCCGCGAAATATTTATTTTGTTTAAACTATTTTCTTTGAGCGTTTATAAAAGAAATAAAAAACCATAATTATTCTCGACTTAAAATTAAGTGGTGTGGGTTATTCAGTTATCAAATAACCGGCAATATAATTTATCTGCTTGAAATAGTACATGTAATTTTAGTATATATAATTAAGAAAAAATAATCGATAATTTTGATTAAGAGGGCCTTAACAGTTTTTTACATTACATTTAAGGGGCCCCAAGACAAACAAGTTTGAGAAGCACTGCCCTAGCCCCCACCTAGTTGTGCCTAACCGTTGCACCGTTGCAGTACGTCATGTTCATCAGTGCATATCTGTGCAGAAGTGGTATATAATGGTATATACACTCCAATCCTCCCTCCATTCCCGGCCATGGGTGCCATCGAAGCGTTATATTATTATAATGTGAGTTTATAGGGAAAATAATATTACTATAAATAGGTACATTATTCGGTTAAAAAATACCTTGAACATTAAAATGAAACGAATTTATTATACCTATATATAGTTATTATTATAATATATAACGTCAAGATTTTTAAACAATAAAATGTAAAAACGACGACTATAAACAACTTATCGCACGCGAGGCTTAAACCATCAAAAAAAAAAACCTTTTTACATAATAATATGTGTAAATGCACCAACCAGTCGTCTGAGTCGTCATTTTACCTAATGTTTTATGTACCATGTACGACTCTAAAATAATATATACATGCGTATTAATGTATTATAATATGGTGCACCGAATACCGATGTATATCTGTCGTACGGTACCGTCTACACGAATAACTGCGATATTTTATCATCGATATTATTACTATTTTTTTTTTTAACCATATAATATTATATCGAACGTTTCTTGTTTTCTCTCACGGAGAGTATTATAATAGGTCCCCAATATGCGCACATACCTCAGTGAGTGCGTCAAATGCCTAAAAAAAAACCTCTGCTCGGCTCTAGATTATACCTGGTTTCTGTTCTGGTTCGTTGTCGAAACGTACGAAATATATAATCCGGAAACGTATTTTGTGGTTCCCCTATAGCGTCGTGTTGAACGTATATTTTAAATAATTGTAATTCGTGAACCATCACCCCCCCCCCAACCCAGTGCCGACTGCAGGTATATATATATATTAAATTATACGTATAAATATATAGACGTATACACATCGGCAAATATTATTAGGTATATATACGAATTGACGTAACGAAATACAAAATATATTCCAAACAAAACGACGTATATCACGTGTATAATAATCATAATTATAATTCGAATAGGTATATACATATTATTATATGTATAGGTAGTATCAAATTTTAGAAATGTTAAATATTCAAGTGGACATATATATAAAAGCATCGATTTCGTTGTAGGTATATTATTATAATGTATAGACGTTACCCCGGCGCTACCATATTATTATAATTATAAAAACTTTTTTTAATTTGTTACCTAAGTCAACATTTCAAATCATTCGACATTTCGACGGAAATATTAATCCATCATACGTAATATAAAATAATTTAGTACGTTTTTAAAAGGTAGATTTTCTAGGTCTCACTATATTTTATTTTAATATACTTATAATTTATACATCATATGTATATACATCTATATCTTTGGAGAGAGAGATGTAAGATTATTGGTTGAACAAAATTCAAGTCGATTCTCATTTTTCTCAAGCTGCCGTTTTAAAATCTTGTTCAACATATATATAGGTACATTTAAAAAATTTTAAAAACCAGTTTGAGAATCCATTATTTTACTAGGTCGAAGCATTTCTTATATGTATTATATTATATCTATGTTCAACTTGTTTTCAAGTGAATGTTTTCATTTACTTTCATAAAAGCAAATAATATTTTATTTTTATAAACTTTATACATTTATGATTATTATTCTTGAATTATAGGTTTCTGGTAAGTGGTAATCAACGGCACGCTCGTAAGTATATGGAGTGTAATAATTAAAAAAAAGAATCGAACAAGAATTATTCACTTCGTCGAGTATTTTATAGATACAATACAACTGTAATCTATATGTATAGGCAGTATGGATTTTTTGTGCATCAATACTATAACGTAATTGAACACGATTTAAATATTGAAATAATTACTTCAGACTTAATCGCCTATAAGCCTTTTAACACACGATAACACAATGAATGAAATAATATTTATAAATTATCAATTGTTTTCAGATTAAAGGAAATCCAGTCATACTACACTAGTATAGTCATCGTACCTACATTATGATAGTATCGATGTGTATTTTACTGTTGCAATACTATACACTTTAGTCTAAATACGAGTACCGATTTATTTATATAAGCTTATTTAATAAACGGTTGCGTCAATGATATTGTATACCCTCGGTGCATGATATACAATGCTAAAAAACATAATCAAATAATAGTGTGATACGCCTTGCACAATGCTTATATTTTAAATTCTGAATATACATATCGTATTATAGGTACTACCCTGTAATTGTCAAAAGTGGGCCGCGTGCGATATATAGAAATACATACATAATAATATGATATTATATGCGTTGACGACAATATAGAAATTGCAAATTTTACTGCGGCGAAGATTGTTTGAAAAACGGTACAGCTGTGGAAATAATAGTCATAATATATATATATAATAATTCTCTGATGTATATACCATATAGTTATAACAATATATACAGGTAAAGAAATTAATTGAAGCCATTAGAACAGCTGCAGGTGGCAAAAACGTTACAGATAATAATCGTATGTACATATTATTATTATATTATATCGTGTGTGAATGGGTGGATCGTGGATATACATCATAATATAGCATAGGTATAACCATTGATTATGAATACTAATATTCATAATCAATGGGTATATAAGTGTACAGAGCATTATAGGCATTATGTATGGTTATA